AATATTTAAATTTAATAAATTCAAGCTTCTTAAGGGTAACAATAGAATTTTTAATATATTTACAATAACCGGTAGCCTCTTAAGAAGAGGATTAGAAATTATATAATAACGGCGAAGATAAAGTTTCACTTTTAAACTGTGAAAACGGAAATAAGGACGGCTTGGACGAAATTAAATAAAGCATTTACTTTAATTAAGAAACGTAGGTAAAAAATTAGTTAGGGGATAATAATATTTACCTTAATAATTTAAGTAACGATTAAAACAAAAAGAGGAAAAGAGAGAGAGAGGGAAAAGAAGTTGAAGGAGGAGTTTTTATATATAATTCTAAAGGTGCGTATATACGTACGCTACTACTTATTACTTACTACCTTCGTCGGTCGAAATAGAAGGAGCGAATATATAGAGGGGTAGGAAGAGGGAGGAGGGGGGTAATATTATAGGGCTAAAGCCCGGGCTATAGCGTTCTAATTATTAACTAGAATTATTATAAGGCGCCGTAGTTATATCTATATAGCCCCTATTAAAACCTCGTATCTCCGGTAGAGCCACCTCTCAAATAGAACTTTCCTTCTTCATAAAACCTTAATTAAGCTATACGACTAGCACCTGTATTAACCGTGCTATCCCCGTTACACCTAGTAGTTTTGCGATATTAATTTTAATAAATTGCTATTCGACCAACTTATACCTAGCGTGTCTCTTTATATTGTAAAAGTAGACGAAGAGGATTTATTCGCGCCCGGTAATAATGCCGTCTTTAAGGATGCGTTAGAGGGTAGTAAGTACTATACGAATAGTCTTTATATAAATTACTATATTTAATATTCTTTTATAACCAATAGTTATTATCCTTATTTTAGACGTACTGTTTATATAAGAAGATAAACCCACTATTATTATTGCTGCTGACCCTATTGTCGATTAAATATACGTATTATTAAAAGATCTTCCTTAATACCAATGCGCTGTATTTAAATTTATAAGTAAAGTAAAGTTTATAGTAGACGAGTACTGTCTTTATTAATTATATTTCGATAATATATATTTAACGACCGGCTGCTTTTAATATAATAAGAATAACCTTAATTGCGAGAAGTTATATTTACGCTATTGGTTATATAAAATTAAGTATAGAAAGTATTACGAGGGAGAGAAATTTAAGGGAGAGCGTAATAGAATAATGCGTAACCTTTAAGGGTATAAGACGAGGGCGGTTATAGTTTTGCGGTATTATAGCCCGGTTAAAGATAATCATTACGTATTACTTAGCGTATTATTAAAGTCGATTAATAGTTAATTTTATAATTATAGTCTTAATCTCTTAAATTAAATTAAACGAATTTTTAGCTTTAAAAAATCAACTTTTAGCGATATTATTCGAAGGTTCCTTTTAGCTACTATTTATTAGACTTTTTATAATAATAATAGCTGATTGGAAACCATTAGAATCGTACTTTATAATTTCGGAGGTTATTAACTTAGTAAGTACAACTTATTTAATTAGGGTAGGGTATTTCGGTTTGCTTATTTAGATCTATATTACGTAGGTAAGGATTTCGTCCCCTAATTGCAAATCGATTAAGTATTATAGTACTTATCTATTTAAATAATAATAAATGAGAATATTAGTAGCTTTAAATCGTTTAGTAAAGCCTTTGAAACTATTCGAAGGGATGGCGAGATCTTTCGTAGGGTAATTTAATCGATTACTAGTATATCCTTTTTTATCATTTTTATTATTTTAATTATTTTTATAATTTTTATTATTTTTATTACTTTTATCATTTTTATTACTTTTATTATTTTTATAATTTTTAAGATTTTTAAGATTTTTATCATTTTTATTATTTTTATTATTTTTATTTATTTATATACGTATAACTAACGCGTTCTTCCCCCCTTATTAGGTTAATTCGATATATTGCGACAGCGAGGGTACTTTGTCCTTATAGATGCTATATATAATACGAATTAGCTTAATTAGTTACTCTATACCCTTCTTATTCGTAATAAATACAGCTATTAGCTTCTTTATAGTTATTTTCTTATAGAGAAGGCTGATGGTAATATTGTAAGAAAGGCTCTATTAATAATACGGGGGTAGGTAGTAAAAAGCGGTTAATTATGGCCACTTTATTATTTCTTTATAGATAACTTTGCTGTCGAATAATATATTGTAAGATTAGCCTTCCCTAATATCGAAATTAATTACTTCCTCTATTATATTTACGTAGAATGGACCTTTAAGTAGAAGTGTATTAGTAATAGTTATAAAGAATACTTAGAATATATAATCGATACCGTTCGTTAGAGACGTATTGAATAGGGTTGTAATAATTCTATTCGGTTCGCCTTTGCCTATTTAGATTAAGACGACCCTATATAAGGGTATATCGAAAAGAATTAGAAAGATATAAAATTATAGTAGGCTAATTACGTTTGTAAGTATTCGCCTTTATTATTATAGGTATAAACCCTCTTTCCTCTAGTCCCTTGAGAATTTAGAGTAAATAAAACGGAATTCGATTTCTTTTTAGATTTAAAGAATATCAGAGGAGACTTAGAGAATATTAGAAGAGACTTAAGAATTATTAGCGCTATTTCTTTTCTTTTCTTAATTAATTATATTTCTCTTTAATAGGTATTTATAATTAACTTTTTCGAAAGTTATTATTCTACTATAAAATTCGAAAATAAGATGATTATATAGTAATTCTCTTTATTTAATATCATTAAGTACGTACTATATATAAATATTCGATATTCTGACTGTATTATTAAGGTTAAGAACGATTTTCGTATTAAACTTCTATGAGAGTTAATTAATTACCTTAGACTTAGCCGATTCTTAGTATTAGTATAAAAGTTAATTCTATTAGAAGCGAAGGAAGGGAGGCGGCTTTATAATACTAGCGAATATTTTAATATATAATTAATATACTTCGTTAGTATAATTCGCTATAAAAGAAGTAGCCGTTTCGATTAGTAATTTATTAGTTGTAAGTGCCGATTCTATAAACGTTAGTAATTGCTATATTGGTATTTCTGCTAGTATTATTTCTTCTCCGACTATTATATATTGTTAGTCGGCCGTTTGGTTAGTTAGTTAGAGTTACAGTAAAATAGGGGATATGAGTAGTTTGAGATTCGAATTGTATAGAGACTACCCCTTTAAGAGAATTGATGTGGCTTTAGTTAACAGTAGGCGGTACGAAAGTAGGTAGAGTTTATGATTTTTAGGTTCTATAGTTTCTAATAATTAGTGTATCGCGAATATAATTTTAATTTTATAGATATAGAGCGTATTTATGTTTAGTATATTGAGAGAATTTAATAGCTTAATAGAGAGCTAAAAGTTGTTATAAATAATTTATAAATATAAGAGGGGGCTCAATTTTAGGAAGTAGATAGGGGTTAGATATTAAATTGAGGTTTTTTAATATACGTTTAATAATATTACGAAATATTTGATAGTGTAGAATATTATAAATTGGATTTATTATAGTTATAAATATTAAGTTAATTAATCCATTAGTACTCTAAACGACGATTTATACGATTTATACGATTTATATATTAATATATAGACTAATCCAGTCTTTTAGTAAGCGGTATGGCTAGTTATACCTAAAAGGTATTATAAATATAGCTAGTTATATATAGTGTTTTATATAATATATACGGTTTATATGTAAAAGGCATTAGAAATGCCAATATATTGTATATTATATATAGAGATTTATATGATATATACGATTTATATACAGATACATCCAGTTATTATAGCAATTATATAAATTTAGTACTGGTTATATATTCTAGTTAGTATTTATTTAGTATAATTAGAGGTGGTGAGAGTAAGCTAGTATTGTAGTTATAGAAATGAAATTTGATCTAGATATTTCGATTTGTATTAAATGTATTAAAATTACTTTTTAGTATGGTATTTGTATATTACTATAAATCCTTTTGATATATATATTAATCGATTGTTAGTAATTAGGGTATTCTATATAGTAAGCTTGGTATTATTAAAGTTAATATTATAATTGTAGTATTGAAAATACGATTAATATATATATTAGTTAACCTTTATTAACTTTATAATTTTATTATTACTAATATATATAGCGGTTATTTAATATAGAGTTTATTGAACCGATCTATATTATTAAAGTAATTACCTATATAAAAGATAGTTAGAAGGATTTTGCCAAGGGAATTAGATTTCGCTTTCTAGCCTTGTTATTTATTGTATATTGTATACGAGATGGTTCCCTTGTTATACGCTTAATGTAGAGTTTATTGAATCTATTTATATTAATGTAGAGTTTACCGAACCTATTTATATGGGTGTGTTTAATGTAGAGTTTATTGAATCTATTTATGGGGGAGATGAAAGCTTATCGAACCAATTTATACTATTAAAGTAATTGCCTATATAAAAGATAGCTAGAAGGACTTTACTATAGGAATTAGATTTCGCTAGTTTATTAGTAAAGTTATTAAATAGTTTAGGAAGATTAGTATTAAGTATTATTAATAATAGCAAGTAGTGCGTTCGGTTACTTATAATACTATATTCTACATTATGATTTTTATCATTTTTACGATTTTATTAAGTTAATACAATAGCCATATATGATTCTTACGTGTAAAGAGCTAATTTAGCTGGCTTTAACTCTATACGCGTGTTTATATACTACCCAAAGAGGCAAAGACTGTACGATCACGGGACTTAAGAAGCCATACCGTTCTGAGTAGTAGATGTGCGGGGGCTGGAGGTGACTGGGGGTGCGGTACGTATCTTTCTACAAGCCCGTTACGCGACACCCATTTATTGGCATGACTGCTAACTGGACATCCCCCCGGTCTCCCCGAAGATCATCGGTTGCTTTAAGAGAACATGACTAGGAAGTCCTGCTTCTGATGGAACTGAAGTGTCTTGGACGGTATGACTACACAGCCCATCGTCTCATGAGATAGCATTTACATATGTGTTTCTCAAATAACAATCGCAAGTAGCTATACCGATCGTATTATTCGTTTCTCGGTGGTATCACCTTCTGCTAGACGCGTTTCTCCGAAACCGGGAATACCCATACATCCATTATCGCTGAAGAATCATGTCGTCGTCGCTAATGTTTGAAACCTCCCCCTGGAGCTTTACTCCATCGATCGCTGTTCCCAAGTCGCCACAAGGATGTCGTTGTTGCTCCCATTATCATTATATCACCACCATCACCATCATCATCAATCACCGCCCGCCCGCCGCCGCCGCCGCCGCAACCATGATACTGATAACCTCAATCAAGACATCTTCTTCCCCATCAACTCGGCCAACTCATCCAACAACTCCACCGTCTCCGCGGGACTCGCAATCCAAGCCGTCGTCCCCACGCTCCTGGCCCTGAAATCGTTCGCCCCGGCACTCAAGAACTGATCGCCCACGTGCAGGGTGTTCTCCCCCTTGATGATCCCATGAGGACCTGCCTCCTTCTGTGAGAACCACCTTTGACAAACAGTAACACCCCAGCTCTTATCGCCAATATCAACAAACACATCCCTTCCACCGTTGAAGGCGCAAAACGGCACGCGCCTGCTCCGGCCCACCGTGCTGAGCTCGAGGATCTTCTGCACCAGCAAAACCGTCTCCTCCAGGCTCTCGCGCGGGATGCGGATCTCGGGCGAAACGGGGATGATGCCCACGGCGCGGTCTTTGCGCATCAGCGTCGCGGGCAGGTTGAGCGTCTTGATGCAGTCGCGCAGCGCGGCTTCGGCTACGTCGAGTAGTTGGGTGATGTCCTGCTCGCTCCAGGCGGCCATCTCGGGCGTGAGCCAGTGCTGTCGTGGCACCGGGGCGAGAAGGTGCGGCGAGGACGAGTCGAACTCGAAGAGGTAGTTGGCTTCACCGCCCATGACGACTAGAGACTGCTTTTGCGAAGGGGTCAGGTCGGCGCTGTTGGCCATGGCGTCTAGGAGACCGTGCAGGCGGGCGTAGTAGCGGTCGGCGGTGGTGTAGCCTGCTGCGGTGACGATGCCGATTTTGACGTTTTTGCGGAGGAGGTCTGTGAGGGAAGGGGGGATAAATGTGAGTTGCGTATGTTCAGGGATAGGGAGATGAAAGGTAAGAACCACTGCACTAACCTAGTAGTCGGGGAATCACAGGACTGGTAGGTTCCAGACTCTGGCCATCGTCGTAGAGCGTCACGTCACCATCAAAGGTAGCAAGCTGGAGAGTTCCGTAGGTCGTTACAGCCATTATCTGCGCTGAGTTGAGGATCAAGCGGATATCGTTAAAGGACGGCGACACAAAGCGGCGTGATGAGATGTATCGCTTGTTGTCCTGGAACTTGAAGGCCGCTTCGAGCGGTAACCGCGTGAAGAAGGGTCCGATACTGGGGACCAAGAGCTTGAGCTTGGATGGGAAAGGGTTCTCGGCGTCGTTTTGGTGGGCAACTGATGATTGATGGTTTAGCTGTTTGAACGTTACTGGATCACAAGGGGATTGGTCGAGTGAGCAGGGGGGGGGGGGATATCTGCTTACTGTGGTCATCGATCATGGCTTCGATATCCCGAAAGATCTCACTGTATCGTCTGTGAGCTTCCTCTCTCGTCTGAGAAAGCGTATCGGCGCTACGATCCGGATCTTCGAGTACGCCATGAGGCTGGGAGTAGAGGACGAATGGTACGGCTAGAAGCGCCTTGGTCCATTCTGATACAGAGTATTAGCTGGAGTTCATCCTTTCCACATGCCTCTTCTCGATGAAGGCACTTCACAGTTGTTCTTGTAAATTGGATGGCCACCGCTAAGCTGACCCCTAGACTCCGCCAGAAGGGGGTAAGGAACATCCAGTAACTATCTGGAAGTGACGCCATTGCTCGAATCATGGATACATTATTAAAGTGACAGAAGGGCTCAAGCTGTACCTATAAATTGATCCCGCCTGTGGGTCTTGAGGGCATCTACAAAGACAAAGTCGTTAGCTGCTAGTAATCTCAGTGATGGGCGATGACGGTCGAACACACATTCAACACGGTATCGTGTAGTCATCTTGAGATGTGAAGTAACGGGTGAAGCTCGAGTTGGGTATTCTAGAGTTGGGATGAAACTATGGGAATAGTATTATGCTGTCGTTTCCTCTTTGTGAAACTGGACGACGGTGACAGCTACGTGCTTGCAGTACAAACACGGGAAAGTATCGGGGTGGTATATAGAAGCGCTTTGTACGATTAGATGGATGACAGGATGCTGGACTCGGTGAGCCGGAGAGATGAGAAGATGAGAAGATGTATAACAAAGAGAGGTAGGTGTGTGAGGTATCATGTACGGGATATGTATGAACACCTCAGCTTCGGTACGCTAGTGACTTCGACTCTCTTGGCAGGTGCCGTTGGCTGCCGGGGCGGCGTGGACAGCGGCGGTGCCCGATGCACGCGGCGCCGGCCAGCTGACCTACCTGCCTGCCCCCTTGCTACTAACGTCCCCGGCCCCGCTCCCATTCGGTTCAGTCTCCCATTCCCGACTTCTCAAGAGGTTATCTCCGGTTTTATCAGTCAACAGCAGGCCATATTGACTTCCATGAGGTGAATTCCCGTAATATTACTGGAGAGAGTCAGCTATCGGTAAAGGCTACGACTCCTAGGGGTAAGGCGGGGCTTCCCCAGCATGACCCAACACCTCAAAGTGGACCCCGCCGTTACGTCTGCCTTGGCATTTCCATCTCCAGTTCCCCAAACACCACAACGATCTGACAGCGGATACCCATGCAACATTCCACAAAGTCTCAAAGGGTCGACGTTGAAACAACATGTTGATGATACAAATAGGTAGGACCTTGATCGATGAAGCTAACTGGTAACAGAGCTGCACCCATACCTACAGGACAAGAAGAAAAACCCCAAATCAAAGTCAACCCAACCCAAGCCAATCCAAACCAGCTCCAACACCTACACCATGGTCCTCGAGACCACCTAGCAGTCTAGCACCCCGTCGCGCTGGCCGTCTCGGTGCGTGTCAAGCACCCCTCAGAACACGTCGTGGCACACCCTTGAACGTACAGCAGCGTCTTCACGGTACATCCGCACGGCACGTTCAACGTCGACCGGACCTGGCACGTCGGCACAGGACAGCGAATTGGCGAGCAGTCGGCCGGGCTTGTCGTCTTGGTGACTGTGGGACATGGCGTCGTCGATGTCGACAAGACTGGCTTGCTGGTGGTTTTGGGCGGGAGGGTGATGATACTCCAGCTGATGGTGGTTTGCGTGTATGTCGTTGATGTGCTCGTGCTCGTGCTCGTGCTCGTGCTCGTGCTTGTGCTACGCACGGTGGTTCTCGTGCTGGTCGGTTTGGGCGGCGGCGAAGAGGTGGTTGTGGTGGTTGAGGTTCGGGTTTGCCATGGTGGCCAGCGACGGGAGGAGGTGGTGGTTGCCGGGCAGGTCAGCCAACTTGTCCGGAATTCGATGTTGCACCCTCCGTATGGACAGTCGGCCTCGCAAGGGGCGATCAAAGTCGCCGTGGGTATCGATGCCGGACATCCACATGGGTTACGAACCGTGTTGACAAAAGCACAGTCGGTAAACTGGCATGTCTTGCCGCAGCCACGGTTTTGCATCGTCCGCGTGACGGTAGGGCAGGGCGTGACTTCGGGAGCTCCTTGAGCGGCCGCGAGGCTGGTCAAGAATCCCATGAAAACGGTTGTGGTGGTGAACTTCATGGCTGCTGCTTCGGATCGAGGGTTAGGTTAGCTAGCTGTATACAAACATGTCTCTATCGTGTTCTCTTAGCTCACCTGGGTCTGGTTCAACAATCTGTGTCAGTAGGCTCTCAAAGTTGACAACCACTTGCGAACCTGCTTGCGCTCTCCCAGTACCCGGGTTGGAATCACTGTCAGATATATGAACTTATGCCATCTGAGCCGCGATCATCAACTCTCTTTTCAGAAACTCCGAACTCATCTCAATCGGGACATCCTCCACGGGATTATGGATGATCTATATAAACCCCTCCTGCTTTCCGCATCTGCATGCTGACATTCTTCCTCGCTCGTTACCACCCAAGGTCGAAGCTATCGTATATGATGTCAGGCAAACGCAGGTATATATAGATTGAATCCTGTCCGTCACCGGGATAACACCCATATGATGTCGGGGTTGTCCAAGAAGGAACGAAACGTATGGTTCCGCGGTCATGATGCTCTGGTGAAGATCTGGGTTATTTCTATGTTGATATAAATTGGAAGCCTATTCATAGAAACCGCACTCTGCTTCCCACTATATCCGACATGCCGTGAATGATCTTTGTAGATTAGCGACGTTCCAAGCAGTCGGATTTTTGTTGGATGTACTGTAGTCGTCCATCCTAAGTCGAGGGTTGGACTTCCATCTCTGAATCAAGTCACTATATATCTTCGCCCGATTTACGTCCCAAAAACAAGGTTTGCGGAATACATCAAATATGAACAGACGATCAATCCCTGATGAAGTCGCATATTTAATTTCATGAGTGCGGAGATATATGAGGATCCCGTTGAAGCAGTTCGCCTCCTGCCGGAGTTGTAGACGAACTCTCAGGCTAAAAGGAGGCTGAATATCTTTGCTCTGTATTCTGCAGTGTTTCCGTTATGCCTACCCTACATCATAAGCAGGCTAGTATCAACGGAAATGCGGCTTATTACCCGTCATCAACAGTAAAGGTAAAAGACACCTAGCATGTCGAAGACCCGGAATGGAAAGCTGGCTCACCTAAGGGCGCGTTCCAAATATCGATGGTTGATCCGCCAGTTGATCCAGTTGTTGATCCGTGTACAAAGCCAAAAGCTGCAGGTCCAGTTGTACCCTGTTGCCAAGACCTTGGCGCTACAGGGGATGGAACTTTTCTTTCATTCTCCGACAAAGAGGTCCTTTTGGGAATGACCATCACGGGCTCAATTTTGAAGCCATTCACAAATGGAGACATCCATCTGGTTGCTGAAAAGCCGCTCTATAAGATGATATAGCGTGCACTATCGTAGGACGATTTTGGACGATTTTGAACAGTGGTCCCAATAACGGTCCTACGATAGTACACGCTATATCATCTTATAGAGCGGCTTTTCAGCAACCAGATGGATGTCTCCATTTGTGAATGGCTTCAAAATTGAGCTCGTTTTGGTAGTTTTTATTACTTGGGGGCTTCTGGGCGCCAAGCTTTCTTTGCCCCCTCTTTTTTGTCAAAAGAGGGGGTAGCAAAATTTTGGGACAGTATTTTAATCTAGGACAGTGCCCGATATAACCCATACAAAATCGCTTATTAACGTCCTACAAAATCGCTCATTTATATTATAAAATTGGACAATCTGTTAATCTTAATAGAAACTGACAGGGTAAATACTCTTATATACCGTAATATACTTAAATAAATATATCTATACCTAATTTAATATATATTACGGTAGAGTAAAAATATCTAGGCACCGCCTAGAATATCTCCTAATATCTCTCCTTCCAAAGAAGGAAAAAAGTTTTTACTATTTATTAATAAAAATGCTAAATATAATAATAATGATCTTATTTACGCTTGACTGTCTAATTTAACTAGTCACTTATTTAGGCATGTAGTCCTTCGTCGTTCAAAGCCGGGCGGAAAAACCGTATATCCGCCAAGATACCAGATAAAAACCTCCCGCGTCTTTATATCTAATATCTATCTTCGTTTTATTTTTTCTAAACCTTCCTTCCAATTTCCTCTAATTCTCTCAACCCCGCTACCCCCACCCTTGGTCCTTATTATTGACTAAATACGTCTTATTATTGGGATACCGCCTTGGGGAGGGGGAAGGTAAAGGGGTTTTACGAATTTCGTTATCGTACTTTCTTCTTAATCAGCCCGAAGGCCCCGGTTAGCGGAGGCGAGGAATAAATATTACCTTACTTATTATTAGGGAATCGTACGCTAATTAGGCGGAGGAGTTATCGTGTTGTCGAACGGGGTGATTACTTTTCGAAGTGGGGAGAATCGACCCGAATTCACTTTTCAGCGGGGTACCTAGGGTTTTGGACTAGGGAGAGCCCTACAAGTTTAATTACGTGCTCAGAGTAGGAGAAGAATTCCAAACCGAAAAGATCGGATAGAAGAAGGGGGAGCGGGATTCGAACCCACGACCTTACGGAAACCGCAAGGCAAATCCAAGCCCAGATCTTCCCGACTGAGCTATCCTCCCATGCTAAATATAAATAAACTTTAAAGACTATCGTTATCCTTCTTAATATTATTTATTATTTTAATATCTATCCTAATAAATTTAATTATTATGAGTATTAAATCTAATATCTAACCATATCTATATCCTTCGTAGAAGAATACTATATATTTATTAAAATTATTATTATAATACCGAATTTCTATAACTAAAACCTCTAAAAAAACTATTTAATAACTATAAAACCGTAAGTAAAAGAAATTCATATTTATATTACTATCTGCTATTAATAAACGTTATAATCCTCCTCGAACTCGCAATAAATTTTATTAAAATATAAAAAAGTATTACCCTTAGAACAAAAACGCTTATAATTAATAAAAAGGGAATTTTCTTTAATCCGCCAAATCTCCAATATTTAATAACGAAGCGAACAGATTCTAAATAAAATATTAATGCGAGAAATAACCTAGGCGGACATTATATTAGACCGAACGATATATAATAATATACCGGAGCGAATAGAATAAATTAATATAAAAATCGGTAATATACTTAATTAAAAACTATAAAGAATAAAAATTTAATACTAAACGCGCTAAACTTGTATCTCCTTCATCTCTTTACTTATTTTAACTATTTTATTACATACTTCCTCTACTACAATTGATTAATAATAATTAAAATTAGCTAAATTATCTTATAAAATAAATAAAATCTACTTAAATTTAATAAAAATACTAAGATAGCTAGTAAATCTAACGAGAATATTAACAACAATATTAATAATACGCTTATCTTTTAACTATATTAATTTATAAACAATATAAATATTTTAAACGCACTAGGAAATTACTAATCTATTCGTTAAAACTGCCTTTATAATTATAATATTAGAGGACGAATAATTAAATACAGAAAGGGATATAATTAACAAATATAGGGTTAATATCGTTACGTAATTTAATAACTTTCTTTAAAACTATCCTTATATTACAGCACAATATAATTTAAAAGAAGGCCTGTAAATTAATAAACTTATTTTCGTATTTCTTAATTTTATCGTAATAATCCTAAATAATAGTATAAACCTTATCGCACAGCTTCTAAAAATCTATATCCATTATAAGGTCGAATATTTTATAATCCTTATTAAATATAAGAATTACCGTATCTCTAATCGGGTAGACCTTACCGACCGAATTCTTTTTAATAATTTTTCCCATACAAGCGCAAGCCTTAATAGTATTAACGAAGGGTTTACACGGATTTTTACAAATTAGAGAAGGCTTAACGTTTATAATATTAACTAAAACTATAGGACTACAGAGAATATTATGCTTACATTTAATAAAACAGCCGAATTAATATTACTCTTACATATTATAAAATTCGAAGTTGTTAAAGTTAAGTATATAACCAATAGAATAAATAAATTATATAAGAAGATTAATACTATTATTAAAACGGTCGTTAATAATACAAATAATTAATAGGACCTCGTTATATTAAAATCGCCAAAAGATTATACCCTTATAAATATAGGAAATTATATCGATTCGGGTAAAAGTAGACGACGTAGAAGAATTATATACTATAGTATAAGAATTACTATAATCATTAAAAAAATAATCCTACTAAATACCGAATTTATTATAAAAATTAATACTATTAAAGTTTAAGGACGCAAAAACTACCGTAATATAGTAATTAAAACTACCAATACTATATAAAATCGCTTAATCTAAATTAATTTAAACGCCAATACTTTTAATAATATTATAAAGGATAAAGGCGAAGCGACCATCATAATATACGAATAAATATTAAATTATTATAGGAGGTACCTAACAACGGGTAACCTCTTTACCAATCTTAGTATTCTTAATTATAATACTATTAAGGGCGTAAGTTTTATCGCGCGAAGGAAAACGGGTATAAGGATTAAAGTCGTTCAAAACGTCGCTTATGCTATTAATACAGTTAATTATATATTAAAAGCAAAGATAAGTAAAGAAGGTTACAAGGGTTTAATCGCTTATAATAATAATATTAATAGTAATAAAAGCTAGAACAATAATATAAAGGCTATTGCAACCTATACTAATAATCTTATCCTCGACGCCCTTTTGATAAAGGCGGCTAAAGTATATAATTAAATTAATAAAAATAGGGAAGTGATTATTTAATTCGATTACTAATGTAGCTAAGCGGAGGTCGCTACTTAACATACTCAACTCGCTATCCGAATTACCGTTCTAAACAATGTAATTAGTAAATTTAATATAAAGGTAATTAAATTGCGGGGTAATTATTTTAATATCGTACTTTATTATAAAAGTAAAATGAAAGGCGAAATAATATAAGACGATTAATTGATAAATATAATAAATAATAATTATAACCGTAAAACCGAGTAATTATAAAGATAGGGTTATTTATAAACGTTAAAAATAAAATAAATAACAAGTTTTAATAAAGAAGGAAGGTTTTAAATAAATTGAAAGAATTACATACGTACTAAAAACCTTCGATCCTATTTAGATTTATATTCTTTTAATTATTTACCGGGTATTATATTTACTTTATTACTTTATATAATT